CAATTGACGTCATCCGCGACCGTACGTCAATGTCAAAAACGTGCGCCACGCCAAATGGAAGCAGTTCGAAATGTTAGTGATTGGGCGAACCGGCGTCCATTTTTTGGACGTTATTGTGTCAATTAATGTTTTGGTGTTGATGGTGCTATATGTGCTCTGTTTGTCAAACATAAACTGTGTATTTGATTAAATATATATTTTATTGTGTAAACTATGGGCTGTGATATGGGTGACAAACGAGTACACAGTCCACATGATGTTAAGTTGATACTGTAGCCCATAGACTGAATCTGTCATCGAATAAGAATCAAAATGTAAATGCATTGTCACCCCTGGTTCTTTACACTCAGCATAAGAAACGCAGCAGATTTAAGCTGCTATTTTATGCTATTTCGTGAGATCGTGGTCTTTCTTCATTCGAGCCGACAAATTTGTGCTACAGCAATAATATAGATGCAGCATTGCCCTACCGCGTATAGTTATAATGAAAAATATCCACTATATCTTGATTTCTTTAATTTCTACCTCAGTCAACGATATTGCTCCACCATAATCTATACCATATCTAGAATGGGAGTCACAAACTAGCACACAGTCCACCTGGTGGTGGGTGCTGTGGCCCATAGACATTTACATGTATCCTCAATTAAGAATCCAAATATGGATGCGTTGTCATCTTTGAAGACTACGATGGATTGCCCAGTTTAGGTTTTTTATCTTTTTTATGAAATACACGCTGCTGCAGCTACCAGTAAATTATTATTATTTATTTCTTTTCTGTACGACCGCCAACTTCGAAGTGACGCCATGCGTCCAAACGGAAGTATCGTCAATGGTACCGTATCTGGATACAATTTTATTTCGAGTGCATCCATTTGTAAGTATACTAAATGAACGTATCGTAAGTGGGTACTTTAAGATAGAAAATGGATGTGACTACCAAGCAAATAAGTGTAACACAAAGTAGACATATAAGCAAATTATCATGTAGTCAACAAATGATTCCATCTACCGAACCGACCCAACACCACACAACAGGACAAATATTAGCGAGGCGACATTAGGGGGAGGATTTAATTACCCGCCAGTTACACCCAACAACGTCTCGTGTAATTGTGACTAATTGCCCAAATTGGGTATAACAATGGATGTGTAAACACAAAAAAATTGTTTTTCTTTTTTTTATTATTGAGTTGGACGATTGGCCCTTTTGCCAATGTCAAGTAACTGGATGTTCTTGCTAATAGTAATTATAAATAATAGTCGCTTAGTGGTCGAAATTCGACCGTAACTCATTTCCTTAAGTTTGTGTAGAAAAGCAAGCATTTCACTTTCAACGCTCAGTATACCAAAACGTATTATTTACGCTTTCAACTTCACATTAATATAATATAACTCTACACTCACCATACGAAACAGCAGCATTGAACTGATATTTAAGCTGGTATTCTGTGAGAGGGTGATTCTTCCCCGATTTAGCCGACTCATTCGTGCTACAACCATAATATAGCTGCAGAATGGTTCTATCACGTAAAAAACACATTTATAAATTTTAGCCCTTTGCATTTCTTCTCGATATAAATTTGAACAATGCCAAATCCACCCCTCCGAGCGCGTAATATGCTTAAAAGGGGGTACAAGATTCCCCTTTACGTATTATCATATTGATAATTCGAAATAAATGACCACTGTTACGCTTCACATTGCTTTTATTAGATAAAATAATAGATAGGTACGAGTATATAAGACACCACTTCAGCCTAGGGTTCAGTTTGAGCAGGTGCCTATTTCCGAAAGCAATGCGAGCAGTGCAGTGGTCTGGTCTGAATTCGACCGGTACGGTCTGTAAGGCATCTTATCTTAGTTTTCATAAGTGACAACTCCAAAAGTGAAATGCTGATCATTAGCCTCCCCCATAGGTTGCCTCATAGAAGGAGTAAGATCACATAGTTGTACTACTTTTTTTATAGGACGGGGTGACAAACGAGCACACAGTCCACCTGATGGTAAGTGGTTGCTGTGGCCCATAGACATCTACATCTATCCTCGATTACGAATTAAGATGCGTTGTCACCCGTGAGGACTAAGATGGAGTGCCTCGTTTCCAGTAGAAAGGGTCTCCGGTTCTCTACACTCACCATACGAAACACAGCAGCATTAAGCTACTGTTTCAAGATGGTATTCTGTGAGAGCGTGGTCCTTCCCCGGTCGAGTTGACCCATTCATGCTACAACTATACTTCTAATATAACTTCAGCATGGTTCTACCACTACACTTTCATAAATAAGACGTTCTAACTTATTTATTTATTTAGGTACAACTGAATGTTATTCAGTTGTACCTAAATAAATCAAAACATGAACAATTGAACATAATAAAAGGAAAATTACAATCTTGATGGTAATCCAAAACATTTGTACATAACATGATATTAGGCAACAGTAATGAGTTTACAGCGCAAATACTTATAACCTATAAAGCGGTATAGCGCAATATGCTGTGGGAAATTTCGAAAAAATAAACCTTATTTAAAATAATATACATTAACATTTAAATTTTGAGACTTGAATGCCTTATTTGCAAAGTATATCTAATACGGATTTTTTTAAATTGTTTATTTTGTTATTAAATAAGTCGATATTTTTACTATTATTATATTATTATTGTATTCATTGTAGATGTCATTAAGTTATGATTTGTGTATTCGTATCTCGCATTATTATGTATTCAATAAACTCTATTTACTGGGTCACGACCTTGTATAGTTTGCGTCATTCTAGAGTAGAATCTACTATACAAAAGGATATTTGCCATAGTTGCCACACTATTTATCACTACCCAGCTATTTCTCATTTGTTTTGTGTTGTTAATAATTGTGTAACTTATAAAATTATTTTAAACTGTTCTTTTCCAAAAAAAAAAGTCTCTTGCTGACGTGCTGTATGTGGTAGAGCCACGCTGCAGTTATCTTATGGTTGTAGCACGAATGGGTCTAGACTAGTCTAGTCTAGACGGGAAGACCACGCCTTCACAGAATACCGGTGTAAAATAGCTAAAAGCTGCTATGTTTCATATGGTGAGTGTAGAAAACCGGACACCCTTGTAACTGGGAACGAGGTATAATAAAATAAAATAAATAAATAAAATAATTTATTTTTCTTCACAAAAATTAAATGAATGACATAGTTGACTGGGATCTCCTTTAAGCAAGTAATGCCTGTGTTTGGAAATCCCGCTCTTCCTTATCTAAACATACATTTTTTTAATTTAAAAAACCAAAAATAACAAAAACAAATTACTCGACTTTAACAACCAAAATTTACAAAAATTACAAAAGTGTGTATGTGTGCATGCGTGCGTACGAGCACGCGCGCATGTGTGAGTGTGTGTGAGTGTGTGTGTGTGTGTGTGTGTGTGTGTGTGTGTGTGTGTGTGTGTGTGTGTGTGTGTGTGTGTGTGTGTGTGTGTGTGTGCGTGTGTGTTTATGAAAAATCATTTTGTTAAATTATATTGTACATAGATAGGATAGGTATTCCAACCTTAAGGGTCACAATGCATTTGCATTTCATTCTTAATCGAGGATAAATGCAGATGCCTATGGGCCACAGCATTCACTTGCCATGAGTTGGAATATGTACACGTTAGTCATTCTCATTGTATAAAATAAACTCTCAGTCCTGTCATCCAGGAGGGGAGGTAGAGACAACAGACTTCCATTTGGCAGGATCCTGACACACCTCTCTCGCCTCCTTCACAGTTATATACCTACACAGATATGCTTGTCTGTTAGTGGTAGTCTTAAATTGTTCCATTTTCAATAAAATCGCCAATTCGTTCAATAAAATTTCGCCGAGGGTGTCCCTTCTCTGCCGTTCATTTCTGCAACATACATTTGCTTTGTCACTCTTTCCCTGTTCATTCTTTCTACGTGACCAAACCACCGAAGTATTTCTTTCTTAATCCTGGTCACTACATCATCTAACAAACCACACTCTTCTTCACTCTCAATTTCCAACCCTATCATTCAGTTTCAGCCCTAACCTACTCCTTAATACATTTATTCTACTCTCGTGTTTCTTCTGACACATCCAATTTTCACTACCATACATTAAAGTAGTATTACTTTAATGTATGTGGGGATGAGTCGCTCACGTCCATAGGCTTCTACCACCAATTCCTACGCCGGTATACACAACACACACACACACACATATATATATATATATATATGATAGCTATATATATATATATATATATATATATATATATATATATACACTAATATATAGCTATGGCTTCCTATAGACATTAATCAAATTACCTCACTAGCGACGGTCAAAGCCTCAAAAAACGTCTAGCCGCTTGCGTAGTGTGACGATATGGGTAAATTTTCCCTTCAAAAGGAGTGACTCACGCCCAGCAGTGGACTTTTGTGGGCATATACACGGACATATACGGATGATTTTATGCTAAAATTATAAAATACCAGTGCCTCACAGAATACCGCTATCAAATAGCAGCTTAATGCTGCTGTGTTTCGTATGGTGAGTATAGAGAACCGGAGACCCTTTTTACCTGTAATAAGGTATTCTATCTCAGTCCTCAGTGGTGACAAAGTACCTGCATTTTTATTGATCGCAGATAGATGTAGATGTCTATAGGCCTCAGCATCCACTTACCTTCAGGTGATCTGTGTGCTCGCTCGTTACTCTTGTTCTATAAAAAACCGATTTCTATAAGAAATAGTAATCGGAATAGTTCTATAAAGACCAATTATGGAGAGAAACGTCTCGTAATATGATCGCCGTCTCATCGGACTATCTGAGTGAGGGAATAGAGAGTGCACCTGTGCTTGCATACTCATGCACTTTGATCTTGTCTTATGCACATGACTAATCTTCGTTAAGACTCGCTGCCGTGAACGAAATTCGGTCTGAGAATTATAATTATGAGAGCATATTCATGTCGTGCAACGCTTTCAACTGGAGCCTCATGCTTACCTCGACAATCCTGTCGTTGACTTGAATCTTGCCGCAGAGGTCCGCTGAACTGCCTTCACTTATGCTCTTCACGAAGATACCACTCAGCTCCTCTGCAAATAAATGTAATGTTATTAATCTGGCGCAGACCAAACACCAAATTCATTCGAAGCTTGTTATCCTTTCTTTTGCATAACTTACATTTTATTGAAGTGTAGAGAGAGAGAGAGAGAGAGAGAGAGAGAGAGGGTACAGTATATATAATTGCACGCTGTTACGCAACAGACCCATCCCGTCGAAAGGTGTTCAGCTCTCCCTCTTCGCAGACGACACTGCTATCTACTGCAAAGGTGTCTCACTACCCTTCATACGGAGCAAGATCCAAAAGTCAGTTGATGATCTAGGAGCTTGGTTCAAAAAATGGCGTATCGATGTGAACCCGGAGAAGAGCTCCGCCGTTCACTTCGATTATAAACGACGCCGTCTCAAAAACACTTCACCAATACGTATGCTAGGGACCCCTGTCACCTGGCATACGACCACCAAATATTTAGGTGTCACTCTAGACACAGGGCTCACTTTCAGAGAACTTAAAGAGTAACCCGTCACGCACGGTTCTATCTGAGTAGGCTCAACTGTATGTTGGGTCGACACAGTAAAATGTCCCTTAGAAACAAGCGTACCCTTTATAAGGTCTGTATACGACCAGTCATGTCATACGCGTTTTTGCCCACGCCAACCCTAAAATCATTAATGAACTCCAAATAGTTCAAAACCTTTTCTGTCGTCGAGCTGCTAACGCACGCGACAGTACGTCCGTAATGCTGACCTTCATCGGGACCTAGAGCTCCCCACAATCCAACAATTTCTCCAAAAACTCTCTGAGAACTTCTTCAAAGCCTCAGAGTCGCACCCAAATCATTTAATTCGTGAGGCAGCTACTTATGCAGCCCCACCCCCCTCTCGCTATCGAGTCCGCAGGCCGAGAAACTCTCTCTCGGACCCGCCTAATAAACTAATTTTTTGTTTGGGCAATCAGCTATCAGCCGGTTGCCTGTCCCCAAAGGCGGTTTTTAGAGGGTATCATTTAGGGTCCCCGGTAGGACAGTGAGTCCCTCATAACCACGATAGACCGGCTATCGTGGTATGCGTAATGCATTTTCCGCCTCCATACGTATAGGGTAGCCCTTTAATTGCTTCGGGCGCAAAAAAAACGCATCAGACATGACAACGTATTTACAGCCTACTTTGTGTGAAGTTGGCTGCAGGTATACCTAGTAGAACAACGCTGCAGCTATATTTTTAAACTTGGTAGATCCATGCTGCAGTTATATTAGTAGTATAGTTGTAGCACGAATGGGTCGGCTCGACCGCGGAAGGACCACGTTCTTACAGAATACTAGCGTAAAATGGTGGCTTAATGCTGCTGTGTTTCGTATGGTGAGGGTAAAGAACTGGAGACCCTAATTACTGGAAACGAGGCTTTCCATCTTCGTCCTCAGGCCACTCCGGGAGGATAGATGTAGATGTCTATGGGCTACAGTATTCACTTACCATCAGGTGGACTGTGTGCTCGTTTGTCACACTTATCCTATAAAAAGTGTCCACGACTTTAAAATCATTTGTCACTTCGGAATTTAAAAAAAATTGGTTGAACTTTGCATGGCGCAGGCCATTGCTGGAACTTCCCACTAATTTCAAATGCAAAGCGCTCCAAATTTCACCAAATTATGACGTTGAATATGAAATATCGTAGTATTTTAAACAAATCAATTTTTTCAAAATTTTTCGTTAACGATATCTCACGAATGAATCAACTGATTTTGACTGAACCAGCAGTGATCGACGTGGTTTAGTTTAAGTTTAAAAGCTGATTAATTTTTGGAATCGATCAGTAAAGCCGTTTAAAAGGTATTCCATAAAAACAGTTATTCAAAAATTTTATTTTTGAGATTTCTCAAAATATACCGGTCCCAATTAGTTAAAATTCGTAGGAAATCTAAGTTTGATGAAACACTTTGGAAATACATACATACAGACATACAGACACCATCGAAAAATTGTCCGGGTGGCTTACTGTGACCTCAAAACGTCAATATTTGATGAAAACTCAATTTTCGAAAAACGAGGTAAAAACAATAACTTCACGATTTTTGAAGATTTTCTATTTTCTTAGCGGGAAGTTAAAAAGTCGGTCACCATAAATTGGGCACTACATGTATGTGTAATAAAACTTATGTAAAGGCTTGTTATGAATAAGGCTCTTCTGAAATAAACGTTCTAACATATTCGCATATCGTAGATTTCCTTTTATTTCATTATTAGAATACATGCGGTTCCAACATCGCAAAGCCTTTGAGCTTTTATTCGATCAAAGAAAACACAATTCGCTTTCTTCTTTTATATTTCTCTGCGCCGCATTTTCGAATAAAGTCTTATAAATGTAACCTCCTCGTATGCATTGAGATGAAAATTTGTTTCACATTTTCACGTACTTGTAAACCCGCATTGCGATGAAGAGTGTGCAGTGTTTATTTTCTTATACATATACGCTGAAGATGAAAGATATAAATTCTCTTGAGTGCAGTTTATAGTTTAAAAGTTTTTAGTTGAAGTAGCGAGCTATTCAATCCAGTATAAAACTCGAATAGGAGGTATCATCCCTTTCCTCTTTGTAAAATTGATAACAGGGTTTTTGAACCACAATACATTAGTACGTTCGCCTATGCGCTAGATGGCGCTGTAGCTTTTATACATCCAAATTTTGCACATGATATGTGTTACACAGTTATTAAGAATATTCTATATAAAGTTTTGCTATATCCAAGTTTTACACATAATATATCTTATGTGTGGGTATGTCAATAATAATCTAAAGTTAAAGTTTAAGTTACGGCCTACATACGTTCCATTGCTGGGCACAGGCCTCCTCTCATTTCTGAGAGGGATTTTAGGGCAAGGAAGTGTCCGCTGCGCTGACCCAATGCTCTTAGAAAAATTTATCTTTTTCTTATTTCTCAGACATGCAGGTTTCCTCACGTTTTCGTTTACCACCGAGCACGTGGTAAGTCAGCAATTAAAAATTTCATTGGTGCCGGCGGGGATCGAACCCACGCTGCTCGCGTATTGTGAGATTTACAGCGAGCGCTAACCATCTGAGCTACAACGGCTCTATTCTACATATATTCATTAACAGCACAACTCTGTAAGGATTATAGTCCGCAAAGCCCAAGCATCGGATATGATAATGAATAAATCGCTTTCTAATCCGTTTATAGTGCGGGTTCATTTGCGATTCACGCTCCTCGTGATTGCTTATGCTTTATGAAAATACACTGTAAACAGTGTTGTTTCACAAAGAATAGAATATTATTTTAACATAAACATAAACATAAACACTCACGCCTGTCACCCAGAGGGGTAGGCAGAGACTACGGACATTTGGCACGATCCTGACATACCTCTTTCGCCTCCTTTACATCCATATATCTACGCATACATGCTCGTCGGTTAAGGGTACTTCTAACGTGGCCCCTTTTCAAAATATCGCCAATTTGGTCGATAAACTTTTTTTATATTATTTTAATATATGAAATAAAACTAATTTTATCGCGTTTAATTTTAACTTTTTGATTCCATTCGTTTCGGGTACTTTACAGCACCCATGGTCATGGAGGTGACTGAATAACTTTATTATTAGCATAATTACATTCCTTTCCTTTACAATAAGCTTTTTTACAATATCGTTAAAATAAGCTATATACAAACTTTACAAATTTTTATGTTACTTACTTCGGTTACTGCCGGCTGTACTAGGCTGAGCCTGTATCACAGACGGCAGTTCCTTCCTCCATGACACAAAATATATTATATCACTAAATTTAACTTATATTTACCAAAGACAAAACACAATAACAATAATGACAACAAAACTTGGTTTTATACTAAAGTTAACATTTATATTCAATTCTTATTTTTTTATGAGTCCGCCATAAAAGTTAACATTTTTAAGAAAGGTAAGGTTAGACAACTTAATACAATGAACTTTAGCTAAATTAATACAAATATAGTAGATTAATACTATATAATTTTTTAATACAGTAGTTTTAAATACTATAAGTATATAAGTTAGTTATTTTATGTGGTCAATTTTACTACATTAATTATTTATTCGTAGGTATTAATTGACTATTATTATATTGGTCTATTAGCACTTGTGACTTTATATCAAATTTATTTAATGTGTGTATGTGTATTTGTGTTGATTGATATTCTTATGTAACAGGCGTTTGTAAGTTAGATAATAAATATGTGAGTCATTTATGATTTATTTACTTAACTATTGCAAATAATTTTTCTACATTGGTAAGTGTTATATATTGAGAATTTTTTTAATTTATTATAAAGCATAGAGAAAAATTTTCTGTACTGGTTTATTTTACATACTTTATGCTTCAGTCTATTTATTGTGAGGCTATGGTCATATGCAAGTTTCAAATGATTATATATGATGATACAATTCAATACATTGGCAAGAATGCTCTTTTAGACAGGAATGCATTTTAATTTCGAAAGTTTGTTCAGTACGTAGTGTCCGCTCAATTATTACAAATAGCATATATTTAGTTTTGTAAATATTAAGTGTAAGCATGTTTTGATTGAGCCAATTACTAATATGACGCAGTCCAAGTTCAGTATTAGTTTTGACCTCAGTCCAAGTTTTACCATGAAATATTATTGAGGTGTCGTCTGCAAAAGTAAATATTTCATCATTTATTACTTTTAATTCACAAAGATCATTTACATAAATTAAAAGTAACGTGGGACCAAGTACACTCCCTTGTGGAACACCAAATGTGACAGGAGACTCACCACTGAATTTCCCGTCAATTGTTACTTTCTGTGTTCTGTTCGACAAATAACTTTTAAATAAGTCCAGTACTTTTCCTCTAATGCCAATTTTTTCCATTCTGTTGAGTAACAGCGGACTGAAGTATTTGACGACTCAATTTTTAAAAACTAGGATAATTTTGATATTTCAACAGAGAAGATGGATGGGTGCTACTATCTGCTTGGGATCCTATAGTAAATAAAATTAAATCCAAGCACAAGC